AATAACTTTCATAAAATACTATATCAAACTAGTATACTATATCTAGTTTCTGCTAGTTTCCATAGTGTTTTTATGAAATTTCGAAGTTTTACATTTATACTAGTTTTTTTTATTGATTAAGTCGATTATTTACACATATTGGTAAGTTCCTGTAACTTGCTCAAGGCAAATACCAATACCAACTAGTTTCTGATGAGCTAACTAAAAAGAGTAACCGGAATAAAGTTTTTGAGTTATTAAGCGAAATACAGAAAAATGTCCCGAATATTTATTTTATATCAAACTGATACAATATGTACGAGTAAAAGCAAATTCGAATTAGATTTATTCAAATAATTTGTTCTGAAGTGTATAAGACAGTTTGTATGAAATTTTATTAAATTTTATCTAGTTTGTGCTAAGCTAACTAAAAAAGAGTGCCTGAAACTAAGTTTTCGAGTTATTTAAAGAAATGTAAAAAAATGTCCCGTAAACAAGTTTGAAAAAGTTAGGGCAAAAAATATGGTAGAGTTTACACAGGATTAATTTTGAACAATTATAACAAGTTATATGATAATACTGAAGGCTAAATAATGAAGAGTGTGAAACAAATATTTTGATTTACTTAAAAAAAATGTAAAGAAGTGTCCCGAATATTTATATGATAAACTTAGGGCAATTTAGTTTACATAGGATTTATTTAATAATTTTCATAAAATACTGTATTAAACCATTTAAAGAAAAATGTAAAAAAAATATCTAGTTTTTGCTAGTTTCCATAGTGTTTTATGAAATTCCGAGGTTTTACATTCATACTAGTTTTTTATTGATTAAGTCGATCATTTACACATATCGGGAAGTTCCTGTAACTTGCCTCAAGGCAAAATATTAATACTAACCAGTTAATTTTTTTTACAATTTTAGACTGATGGTAGAACTTGCACAGACATCAACGAATGTGAATTGAATTCCGATATCTGCAAAGGAGGTGGAACTTGTGTTAATACTGATGGAAGCTTTACTTGCACATGTCCACCAGGGTTAACTTTAGACCCAGCAGGTAGTTAACTTTTTACAAAACAATAATTTTGTGAACTTCATATATTTTTTACCCAAATATTTCTTTTACCCAGGTACTGAATGCTTGGACTTGCGCCAAGAATTTTGCTACCTAGACTACAGACATGGTCAATGTTCGAACTCGATGGAAGGTTTGTACAGCAAGAAATTCTGCTGCTGCACTTCAGTGGGTAAAGCATGGGGTAACGAGAGGTGTGAGGCTTGTCCAAAACCAGGTGAATAAAAATGAATTTGCCAAATATTAAATTTTAATCAGATTTATTATAATACTAGATGACCCGACAGACGTTGTCCTGTACCCATGTCTATAATGTTTTAATATAATATACTAATATTTACTGTTTACCTAAAAATAAATAATTATTGTTTTTTAAATTACTCTTCACGCCAAAATGACGAACTCCGTTTCGCCACCAGATGGTTTCGTGAGAAAGATGAAGAATTTTTTTGTTTGTTTTATATTTGAAAGGAAAAAAATTGATTTTATTATACAACAGTAATGAATTTATTTTGATTACAAAAATTAAGTGTTTGTTAGTTGAACTTCTCTAAGTAAATGAAAGTGAATCCGCAAATTATCCGTTTCATTGAGGTGCTCTTTGGTAAACCACATTTTTTGTTTTTTGGTCTGACGTTAACACGAACAAAGCGGATGGTTTTCCAACTCGTGAACAGGCAACGTATAACTGCCTATGTGAAAAACAATGATTTTCTAAATAATCTATTTGAAATTTATCCCGCAAACACTAAGCGATTGGCCTTGAGACTTGTTATTGCGAACGCAAGGCGAACTGTAAATTGCAATCGTTTGAAGTCAAACGGAAGACCAGTCGGAATCATTGGTATGTCACCAAATCGAAAGTAATTTTTGATTGAATGGTGAAATTAAATGCGTGTACATTATTATTCTTTGCGGCAAGAATTGCTCGTTAACTTAACCAAGCATAATTTTGATAATTTTCACTAATGTCATTACTCGAATTTTTAATTACGGTGCGTGAAGTTTCAGCAGCTTGCATTAAGGCACGATGCCATGCACAACTAATTTTCTTAGCTATAAACCTTGCGGAGCCCGAGACATTTCCAACGAATGTAAAATTGTCGAAATCGGTTCGTACGTTCTGGAGTTATTTTGTCAGGAAGAAAACCCGACTTATTTTTATATATATAGGAAATAATATGAGCGAAGTTAAATGTAGAACTGTTTTAAATAAAATGATGAGTCTCAATTCCCACACTATATATTGGAAATTGAAGTCTTTTAAACGGTATAACATTACCATACCCATAACATTACACTGGTATTTCATGTTGAATTAAATTAATTTAATTTTTTATTATTTTTGATATCCAAAATTGCATCTTAAACTTCTCCTAATCGATATCGTGAGGGCCGAATTGTATGTATTCATCTTTACTTTCCCATTTGTTGTTATAAAGTGAAATTTTTAAGAATGTTAAAAATATTGTGGAAAGATTAGTAAAAGATGCAAAGAAATTATGTATTTAAAAAAGAACTATATTGAAAATTAAATATACGAATATTGTGTCGGCGCCCCCTAAGGCGTGCGCTCGTATTTTTCGCATGCATCGCATTAAGAGGGGCGATACATGTTAATCGCCTTAATTTTTACCATTTTTTGAGGACTTTTTAAACTGGGAAGGATGATTGAATCTTTTGAACTTTTTAGGGTTATTTATTATATATTAAAATACACAAAAAAAATTTTTTTATTTTTTCTTTTTTAATGGCTGCCGTAAAAATAAATCTGCCAAGACCCTCTCGGAAAACGCCATCAATTGGCGGCGTTCTCACTTTTCGTACGGTGATCTGAATTAAAAAAATTAGTTTGTACGTGTTCATAAAACATATATCTTCTAGTTAAACCAAAAAAAATTAAAAAAGTCACAAAATCGTAAATTGGCACACCTTAGAAAAAAAAAGTTCGATTTTTCACCTTTTTTTCAATGTTTTTTTTGGTAAAAGGGTTAATTTTTGATTTTTTTTTGGAATGTTTGAGGCTTAACTAGAAGCTATTACTGTAAAGTAGACGTGTGCAAAATTTCATTGGAATCGGTTGAGAACTTTTTGAGTTATCCCGCCCGCAAGTTTCAAAAATGTCGTTTTGAGAAAAACGCGTTTAAAGTTTTGACACAGAAACCGATAAGAGTACAATAGCACTCGAGCGTCGAGTTGAGGCGTGGCACTTAAATGAGTTTTTATTGTATAAATAATGATAATTTTGTTTTGAATATTTACAGGCATATTTTTGAGATGTTATTGTAACGATTTATGAAAGAAAAAAAAATCGATTTTTTTTTTCTTGTTACATGTATCGCCCCCCTTAAAGGTAGGACCGGCCCTGATTAATACTTATATCATATTTTAAGTGAATTAATTTGTCAAATCCTGTTCATATGTGTATCATTCAGTCTGCCATACATATACTATATTTTATATTATTTTAATTTCTGACACATTTCAGCTGCCTTTCGGCAATAATAATGTAGACATTTCATATTTTCTTATTCATAATCATGAATTTATTATACATATTCTAATATTGTCTAGGTTCATAAGAAAATTGAAATTTTTGGCAGATGATAGTTTTTATTTGTTTTCAATGCAAACAATGACATGTCGTTTTTTGCAATTTTTTCCATTTATTTCTACAATATTGCGCATACATTCCAGTACTTTATAATCACATACATTCTAGAAAATTTCCTTAACAAACTTCAGAAAGATTTATCAAAATCTGCATAATCGTTTAGAAGGAATATACAGTGAGTGTTTGTAATTTAATATGAACTTTATATAATAGCAATAAAGCTCAAATTGATTCTACGTTTTAGTTAGAAAACGTTTGTATGTGGAAAAAAAGGGCTGTTTTTAGGGGTTTCGCGGCAAATATTCGATTTTTACTCGCCGTAAGAACCATCCTTAGACTTCAACGAACATTTTAAAAAAAGAATTGGCCAAATTGGTTCAGACATTGTTGAGTTATGCGTTTACCAACACATTTTGCGATTCATTTTTATATATAAGACTAATTTGAAATCTAATTTTTATACAGCGCAAAGTTTGAATTGAAATATTCGGGGCATTTTTCTACGTTTCTTTATATAATTGAAAAACTTTGTTTTGGTCACTCATAACAAATTTCTTTAGCAGAAATCAGATAAAATTTGTTAAAAAAAATTATAAATAGTTTGTTATTGTTTTATATAAAAGTTTCACTTTGAAATCGAATTTTTATACAGCGCAAGTTTAAAATGTTGATTTAAGGTAAAAAATCTGTTCACACACATACGCATACTTTTTCCAAATTTGGTTTCATTCGATTCAGAATGGCTTGAAACGTGGAGAAAACATAAAATTAGCGAATCAGATTTTTTATGAAAACATAACTTTCCTTCTGGGAAGTTTCTTTCTTAAAGATACTTGTTATGATATATTTGGTTTTTCTAGGTACCCAGGCATTCCATGAATGTGCCCTAAGGGACTTGGCTTCATTGACTTTAAGGACATCAATGAATGTACAGAGTTTCCCAATATGTGCCAGAATGGTAGATGCACTAATTACATAGGATCGTACAGTTGCAGATGCAAACAGGGTTATCCTTGGACGAGAAGGAGTCAATGTAATGGGGTCAATGGTAAGTGGTAAAGGATACACTTTTATTTAATTTATCGACTAATGTAAATTCATTTTTTTGCAGATATTGATGAATGTAACATTCTTCATGGAGTCTGTGGTGAAGGCGAATGCCAAAACGTTCCTGGAAGCTTCGAATGCAACTGTAAGGAAGGATTTATGAACGGAATGACCAAGGAATGCATTGGTAAATACATCATTAATATGATATTACAGTAATAGGGCAATTCTGCCATAACAGAGGTCACAGTGAAAATTGTCAAAATGTCAATTTATTTGCTGTGCGATCAGGCGTATTTTACATATAAACAAGTGGGGAAGAATGTTACGATAACAGAATCTTGATGATGCATTCTTCCTTGCTTGTACACAGTGGCGTACCTAGAACTTTTGCCGCCCGGGGCGATCTCCAGATTGCCGCCCTTTCAATTATAAGTCAGTCAAATAGTAGTTTTCATAAATTAATACAAATAAACTAGTGGTGCATGGCATCGTGCCTTAAGGCAAATTGTTGAAACTTTCCGTACCGAAACATAAATTTTTAAAAAAGATTTTAAATTATTTGAAATCTGAAAAAATATATTTTTGAGAACTTCGAAAATTTTGAAAAAAATGATTTTTTTGAAAAATTAGTTTTTTTATATTTCGAAAATTTGTAACTTTTGCGTAGCAGTTTTGGAGACGAAATATCTAAGCGCGTAAGCATCGCGTTGCAGTCTAACGGATAGACATTGATACGAAACCCACAGAAATGTAAATTAAATTTGTTCTTATTATTAAAATCTCTAGAAATAGATAATTTGACGTGCATATGTCTAATGATCATTTTGGACCGCCAAATGTATTTTTTTTACTTTCTTATTGAATCTCTGTAACCGCTAGACCCGTCATCCCAAAAACAGTTCTTCGTTTAGTCAATACAAATAAAATGTTTTTTGAATTACTTAAATCGGACGCTTCGTTCTCTTAAAAACTAAATTACAATTTTTGGCTTTTTTGCCCCGTATCTTTGAAACGGCTGGACCTGCCTTTGCCAAAAACTAATAAGCACTTATCAGTACGAATCGAATGTTTTATTCAAATCGGTTGATGCGTATTCCTACAATCATCGACGAAAGTTTGTATCTAAACACACAACCACATCCATTTTTTATAAGGTATGGCAAAATTCAGAAACCTCTGAAACGTAAAGATATATAAAAATTTTCACTTTCGATTTTTTTGCGTCTACTATATATGACTTAACCTATGAAAAGTAAATAAATTATTAAGTTATTTAATCAATATTAATTAATACACAGAGTAACGTTTTAGACATATTTATATGCACTCGTTAACATATTTATATAATGCCCTAAGGCAGACCGCCTTCCGCCAGCCCTGATTTTTAAAAGAAAAATTGATGATTTAAAAAAATATTGATATATCACTTCAAAGTAATCATATAAACTTTTCAAAAGAAATGACATTTATAAGCTGATATAAAAAAATTAGGAAAAATGGCCGAACAAAATCGTAAAGATGCTTATAAAAATTAAATGAATTTTAATGAATAC